AGTTGCAGGTAAGAAACTAGTGTATTAACAACAGCAAACCAGTGGTTAAATCAATTAAGGAATCGAAACCAGTTACTGTAACTCACAACTTCTCGACTCCAACTGTTCGTCTGCAACCCATAGTTAGTTATGGGAATGGTAGTTACTCAACAATACCAATTAATATAAATCTATAGTACCCACCAATATAACTCAATATAGTCGCCCAATCTTCGTACATATGTAAATTCTACAACCGGTTTTAATTTGTTTCTTGCTAAGAGTGATATATTATATCTATATTATCTACGTTTTTTTGTAGCGCTGGTTGTTACTGTCCTCCTATAACTGTTGTAGCTCTGTAAAACACACGCTGTTTGTTTGATACGTTTGAATACTTATCATAGGGGCGTCGTAACAGGGAGTGCTGGAGTTCCCCTCTTTTACATATTTGACTTGTGCAGCAACTGTAACTTATTTTATTAATATTCCCCTAGATTGACCTGTCTTTGACAGAAGGGAGGCTGGTTTTAGCAGTTCCTTATACTTTCGGTCTATCATTTTAAGATGTGCATAGGCCTAGCGAAGCACCCCTACTTTGCAACTCCTTCTTACACGACTGTATCATTAATTAAATAATGACTTTATGTTTAAATATTCACCTTCCGTATGAAGAATAGTAATTTAGAAAAATAATTTACCTGGCTAGCTTTATTTTCATTGACACATATCCCAAAAACGACACACAACAATTGCCATTTTCAACATTTCATTTTATTCACCCGATGTTATAAAACTACCAATTACTTATCTTATTTGCGTCACACTTGATGAAAGGGGTGGTTTCAATATAATTAATCTTTGACAAATATATTTAAAAAAAATTAAACTAAATTGTCTTTCTGGAAGCTCGGTTTACGACAAAGCATGTAATCATTTCAAATGCATTCAGTTTAATATATAATAATGTTAATCAAATGGTCTAAACAAACAGTATCAATTCAGTTTTCATTAATACACAACATCTCGAAACTTTTTAAAAATAAGACTTTTTACACACATCTCTGCGGTAATTATTTCACTACATAACTGATCACTCACCCAAATCTTAACATAACACAGACAAGACAAACGGTAATCAAATTATGGTATCTGAGAAATGATTTTTTAAAAATACTTGTATTCCATTCATGTTTGATTTACAGAAACGTGGTATTTCTAATATCTGGTTTTAACAACATATTTTATAGTGAATTTCTTACGTTTTACTGTTTAATTGTTAAAAGATCTTGTAAAAATAAAGAAACGAAGTAATGTCTATACCATCAAGAGATAATTTTGCACGATGATTTTGGCAGAGCAATGGCACAAAATCTATAACAAAAGTTGGTAAATATTCATGTACAACTTTGAAAACCTATTGTTTCATTTTCACATACCAGTTGATTTAAAGTAAAACTTTAATTATGTTAGATCTATTTTTTAAGGAAACTTAAAAAGCACACACACACACACACACACAGAGCAAAAAAAACATACTCCACCTTATCTAAAATTTATTTTATTGTATTGCGTTTCGACACGTAGTAGGAACACACTCAAACACTGAAATTTTGTAAGAAGACAAAAAAAAAAAATTGCAATGGATATGAAAGTTGTTTTTAACAAACATCTGGTTAGTATACGTTTTCTCTAAGTTAAATAATAATAATAATAAACAAGTGGAAGCGCTGCGTACATAGGTCTTACTTTAGTTTTATTTTGAAGCCCAATTCGGATAAAAGTGCAAGTTAGTCTTCGATTGAATAGTTAAATTGGATACAGGAAACGTTGTAATGTATGGCTACCAATTCCAGTTGTGCATACTTTAGTAATATCGCACTATTTTGTCGTTAATAGTAACTTTATGACTGTGCATTGCTAGTAATTAAGAATATACAAGTTAGTAGATCCTATTAAAAAATTAAAATAGAGGTGGATTAATATAGAAGACTCAAAATCAAGTAGAATACATTTTTAGGTTTATACAAAATGTTATGTTAACTTCATAATAACAATAGCTGTGAGAAAAGATTTTAGTTGGGATCTCCATTGTCCAGAAAAATAAAATGTCGGAAATTAAAACCTCTAGAACGTACAGTTATTTTTTCATAATGAAACATGATTATATTTTTACAATTGCACTACTGTATAGGATTTTAGATAATATTTAAGTGTTCCATAAGGCAAAGTTTTTGTGGCTTATCTTTGACCATAAGCTTAGCTTCATTCTGCACATCAAGCAGCTACGTGTCAAGTGTGCAAGGGCTCTGAACATCCTCCGTGTCCTCTCTGTCAGCTCTTGGGGAGCGGATCGATGTTCTATGCTTAGGATCTATCGTGCTTTAATTCGATCCAAACTGGACTATGGGTCTTTGGTTCTGCCAGGACCTCGTCCTTGAAGATGCTGGACCCCATTCACCATTTGGGACTTTGGCTCTGCACTGGGGCTTTTCGCACTTCTCCAGTCCAGAGTTTGTACTCTCAGTCCC